AGCGCAGTCCGAGCCCCGGGCGCCGCCGCCGCCGCGAGAGGCCTCAGGCCCGGCCGGAAGCGAGGCGCTCACCCTTGGCACCCCTGCCCCCCGGACGCTGACTGGTGGGAGGGGGCTGGAGTTGGGGCGGTGGAGGGACCAGGTTCGGAACCAGGGCGCAGCGCCACAGGCCTCGGCCGCCCCCTGTTCGCAGTCAGCCCTTGCTGCGCGGGCTCCCCAGCGCTGGCGGGCCCGCCCAGCGCTCCCCTCCCGTCTGTACGGAGCTGGGGGGCGGGTTCTCCCCTGCAGATGGCCCACGAGGGACCTGGAGCCTCTAAAGAAGCAGATGTGGCTACGAGGGGTCACCAGGCTCCCTTGTCTGCCGAACTGCGATCTCCTGCTGAACTCCGGATGGGAGTCCTGGCTTCTAGGCCAGCGCGGCGTCTTGCAACCTGCGTGGCCTTGGGCAGGTCACCCCCCTGCTCTGGGCTCCTTCCTCGCCAGTAAGGAGAGATGGTGGGACTGCAGGTCTTTCAGGCCTTTGCCTCTCTAATCGTCTGTATCTGTAGAATGGGCCTGGAAATCTTCCTGCCTCATGGGGTTAAGAGGATTTAATAGGATTAAGGATATGGAGAGCAGAATCTGGTGCCTACCAAGCACCCAAAAGTGGCTATCATTATAATGATGTTTAGGGGACACACCTGAGAATCTCTCCTTTTTCTTCCCTGGACCCAAGGGAAAGGGCCTTATGTCTCCCTGGCTTGGCCTTCTCAGTCCAAAACCTTGGCCTTGTCTGGGTGGAGGACAGGAGAATGGGAATGGGGAGACGCTGGCCACTGCCCTCCTGGTCAGGAACTCTGATAGCAGAGGGAAAGTGTTCCCAGTCTGTGAAGAGGGTGGCTCAGAAAAGGAAAGGGGGCCGGCTGAGTGGCTCGTTTGTTAAGAGCTGGCTTGGGAGCGTGAGCTCTGAGCAGCAGTGCTCCCGGTTCGGATCCCACATGTGGGCCAGTGATGCTGCGCCCTCTACAGCTAAGATGGTGAACAACAGCTTGACCTGGAGCTGGGCTGCTGTGAGTCTCCTGCCATGACTAGGCTGCAGTGGGCTGCCATAAGCTACCGTGAGTGGCCGGCAGCCAGTGTGAGTTGCAGTGAGCCGCTGTGAGTGGCCGTCCAATGGCCGGCGACAGATCTGCCTCACTGGGGAAGAGCGCAATGATCACAATACCAACATGGGCCAGTGAAGCGATGTCCTCCACAACTAGACTGAAGAACAAAAGGACAGCAACTTGTCTGTTTCCCTCCCCCAATTCCCCAATAAAATCTTTAAAAAAACAAACAAAAAAACAAAAAAAAGAAAGGGCCTGCCCAGGTGCATTCAGGTAGGAAGTGGAGGGACTTGGATAGGTTTAGGCTGTCGGTTCCCAGGCCTTCCTCCCCACAGACCTCAGGCTTTCAAGACTGGGAAGGTTCAGGCCTGTGGAGTTTGGGAAGGCAGAGGGCAGGGGCTCCTGGGGCCAGGACAGAGCAGGGCCACTTAGCTATTTAGCAAACTGCGGGAGCTACCGTTTCCACTACTGCTTCTAATAGGCTCCCCTCTGCCAGCTGTTAAAGCCCTGTGTTAATAAGTTAGCGGCCCTGGGCCTCAATTTGCTTATCCGCAAAGTGGGGATCTCCATCAGGAGCTGGGCCAGCCAAAGAGGATCTGAAGGACACCTCAGTTTCTCCTTCTTCCCTCAGAGCTGGCGAGCCCTCCTTCCCAGCTGGGGAGGTTGAGGCAGGGTGGCCGCGTCTCAGGACTTTGTCTGAGCAATGGCACCCCACTCCCTTCCCGCAGCCACCCGCGAATCGGCCTTCGTGCACGCCATCGCCTCTGCTGGCGTGGCCTTCGCAGTCACGCGCTCCTGCGCTGAGGGCACCTCCACCATCTGCGGCTGCGATTCCCATCATAAGGGGCCGCCTGGCGAGGGCTGGAAGTGGGGCGGCTGCAGCGAGGACGCCGACTTCGGTGTGCTTGTGTCGCGTGAGTTCGCAGACGCGCGCGAGAACAGGCCAGACGCGCGCTCGGCCATGAACAAGCACAACAACGAGGCAGGCCGCACGGTGAGTCGCCGCGACCCTGCCCCGGTGCCCTTTCCAGCAGTCCTCCTCATGGGTCCTGGGCTCCCTGCTTTTCTCTTTCCCTTTGGCCAGGCTTGGCTCCCAACCCCACTCACAGTCACTCCTTTTGTTCACCCTCCTTTCTCCTTGGACTGTCCCGGGTCTTGGCCCGCCAGGGGATGGAGCACGTAGCAGCCAGCCCCCTCTGTGTGCTCATGTAGAGCCCTACATGTGAAGCCCGTGGGCCTGGCTTTGAACCCAGCCTCCACCCGCTTCCTATGGTTGTTTGACAGGGTGAGTCACTTAAGTTCCCAGCCTCAGTTTCTTCATCTGTTAAACGTGGATAACAATCCCTATTTACTATGGCTTTGAGAAATGGATGTGATTTCTGCCAGTGTTTGGAGTGTGAAGGGGAGGAAAACAGTGGTCACCATTCTTTGGGTTCAGAGCTCATCCCCGATCAGTTCTCATCCTGGCGCAGGGCAGGAATAGAGAAGGCTCTAGGAATGGGGGTATGTGTGTGTGGGGGGGTGGGCAGGGGCAGAGCGGGAAGGTCTAGGTGTGCTCCCAGGTGGGGTCAGTCTGGGGACCAGCTGCTACTCCTCTTCCCCAGACCATCCTGGACCACATGCACCTCAAGTGCAAGTGCCACGGGCTGTCAGGCAGCTGTGAGGTGAAGACCTGTTGGTGGGCCCAGCCCGACTTCCGTGCCATCGGTGACTTCCTCAAGGACAAGTACGACAGCGCCTCAGAGATGGTGGTGGAGAAGCACCGCGAATCTCGCGGCTGGGTGGAGACGCTCCGCGCCAAGTACGCGCTCTTCAAGCCGCCCACCGAGAGGGACCTGGTCTACTACGAGAACTCCCCCAACTTTTGTGAGCCCAATCCGGAGACAGGCTCCTTTGGCACCAGGGACCGGACTTGCAATGTCACCTCCCACGGCATCGATGGCTGTGACCTGCTCTGCTGTGGTCGCGGCCACAACACGAGGACGGAGAAGCGGAAGGAGAAATGTCACTGCATCTTCCACTGGTGCTGCTATGTGAGCTGCCAGGAGTGCATCCGCATCTACGACGTGCACACCTGCAAGTAGGGAGCAAGGTAGGGTGGCGGGGTGTGGGGAGGCTGGGGGCCTTGATGCAGGGAGCCAGGTTTGCCCGTCTCCTTTTCCTGACGACTCCATCCTATTTCTGAGGGCTCCAAGACACAAGTTCCTACAGCCAACATAGGAAGCCAGGATTTCCCAAACTTAGATGGGAACAGTCCTTGGTGGATAACAAAAAGCACAGATCATAACCAAGTGTATGCACATGAGGTTGCAATCAGTTGATTACAGTTCTCATCCAAGTTAGTCTATTATGAGCCAGGTCAAATTTTTGCACAGCCACTGTCTCTCATTATTGAGTATCTGAGGCGCCCGAGGAGAGACTCGGGGGTTGGAAGCTGGGACACCTGACTTCTAGTCCCAACTTTTCCTCTAACTTCCTGTTCCTTCACTTCTTAGGGCCTCGGTTTTCTTACTGTAAAATAAGAGGGTTAAAATACTTGAAACAGTAGGCCAAAAAGTCTCTTCTATCCCTGGGGCAGCGTCATTGTGCATCCACCTTGAACTTAGAGGGCAAGTTTTTGCACAAGAGTAAATCCTACCAACCTCAAGGAGGTGGGTGGGGGAAGCGGCGTATAAGCCTATATCCTGACAGATCTGAAGCTTGGGTGGAGCGGGGCGCACTCTCACCGAGTTTATGGATGGCGATGGGGAGGAGGAAGGAGTCAAGTTCAGAGTGATGGTGGTGAGTAATCAAGGGATCAAAGGCTGGTGGATTATGTTGCCAAGCTTCCCAGAGGTGGCCGGCGTGGGAGACACTGTGCCTGGCCCTCAGATCCAGAGGTCCCCAGAATAGGTCAGGGTTGACATAGGGTGGTCCTCGAGTCTTGGAGGTGGAAGGTCTCTGAGGCTGGTGTGCCCTTTCTCCCTTTTCTCTAACCTGAGAGGGAGCCTAATATCCAGAGGCATGAGCCCTGGTCCAGCTTCCATCACTTGCTAACATGTGACCCAAATAAGACAGTCTTCCCACATCTGTCTTCTCATCTGCCATCCTCCCTAGTGATGCTGTGAGGAGCAAAGGAGAGAGCACTGGGGCCAATGCTTGATTCACAGCGAAGGACTTGCCTGCCTGGGTCGTCACTGGCTGGGGCCGTGTCAGGGAGAGCACCCCGTTGGGCCGTGCAGCTCCACACAGGGCACCTTGGAGCTGGGGTGCACGTCTGTGCTGTGTGGGCCTGGGGGAAGAACCTGACATCATGGGGAGAGCTCTGGCTGAGGGGCGCCTCACCCAGTCCACCTGGGAAGCCCCTCTGTGTCGCTCCAGTTGCATCCTGGCAGGGACAGAATCCAGAAACGCAGAAAAGAGGTGCCACCTTTCTTGGTGTCTGGAAGAGCAGTGTGGTGGGTGGAAAGAGCACGAGGTGGTTCCCACCCCACTGCTTGCCAGCCGTGGAGCCGTGGAGGCCAGTTTCCTCATCTGTGCAGAGGTGGTGATAATGAGAGCCTAGCAGAATTTTTATGAGGCTCAAGTGAGCCAACAGCTATGACTGCTTGCCTGAATACAGTACAAATAGAAAGTGTGATGAATGCCATTTAGGGAGCTGTGACGTGAGGGCGGTCACGAAGCAGTGAAATGGTGTCATCGCTTGGGCAGTTTCATTTACTGCCCAATATGACAGAAGAAAAGGCATCAAATGAGAGAGAACACACAGGCTCATCGTGGGCTGGCAAGGTGAAAGAAATGTTTGAAAGCACAGTGGCCACCTTCCTCTGATGTCCACGATGGCCAGAGGCGACACCTTGTCCCCACTATCCAGTAGGACATACCTCTGGCCATTCTGAGAGGGGGCTGTGGGGGAATCAGAGCTTTAGAATACTCATACTGGACAGAGGCCATCTATCCAGCCTGCTCATTGCACAGATCGGGACACTGAGTCCACGTCTCTGCCCCCAGAAAGCCCCGTAGGTGGGTCCTGTGGAGGCCACAGCAGCATCCCAGGTCCCATCAGTGGCTCTAGGGGGCTCCCAGGTGGTACAGATTCAGGACCCTGGGGCTGTGTCAGCACCCCCCCTCCCCAGCTGGGCAGCCAAGATAAGCTATCTGCCCGTGGGGAAGGAGGTCCTGGCTCGGCTCTCAGTGTCCAGAAGTCCCCCACCTGTAACCCCTGTGCTAACAGATCCTAAGAAGAACCGATGCTCTCCATCAGCCCCCGCCTTCTCATTTCTGAAATAGAATGGTGCTTTCCAGTCTTATGGAAAGGGCTACATAGACGCGGTTTTAAGACACCACGTGCAGGTAGATCGTGACCCCCCCCACGCTGGGACAAGTGGAGAGTTCACTCCCAGTGCGATGCCGTTTTGGTAAATATTCAACTTGTGGAGTGATTTTGGGCACGCTGTGTTGCCTCTCTGGGTCCCGGTTTCCTCGTCTGTGAACTGGAGAGAAGTACCATGTCCCCAGCAGGGTTGTTGTGTGGACTAGAGGCTTTGACACCGAGAGCCCCTGCACAGGGCTCACATACTCGAGGCGGCAGCCAATTCCCAGGCCGAGCTGACCTCCAAGAGTAGCTCCCCCCAGGCACGCTACTTGGTCTGGAGCCAGAGGCCGACACCCGTCCTGCCCTTTCGTCCACACTGAACGCTGCAGGCACAATAGGACAGATCAGAGCCTCTTGCTTTTCACCCTGACTCAACAGTGAAAGGAGGAGACAGGGAGCCGCAGGGCAGCACACGTGCCCTCCACACACTTAGGGGAAGCCCCAGATAACATGGCTTTATGCCACAGGAAGGCCAGGCTCCTGGTCCTTTCTTAGGAGGAAAGCATCCTTTCCATCGCTTGTAGCTTTTGTCTAGTGTCTCAGGCTAACCACGGATTTCCTCCCTTGCCAATACCAGGCTTATTCCTTGTCACTCAGATGTTGTGAGCACAGTAAACTAGAAGGGGCTGTGGACACGAGTCAGGTGGCCCGGCTGACCCTGGGTGCTGGATCTGTCACTAACTTGCTGCGAGACCTTGAACATGTCCCTTGAATCTTGTTGAGTGTGTTTCTGCCCCTGTCAAACCTGTCAGCCCTGGGGAGCTGCGGATTGACTGGGAATACCCCAAAAGCTCAGGCCTCAAATCCTGTGTGAGATAAAAATATACAATGAATAAAATGTACACCTGGGTGTCCCATGAGCAGGAATTATTCCTAATTATGTAATTAGGAGACTTTCTCCTGTTCGGACAGCTCGTTATGAGATTATCTAGTGTGATACAAAAACCACGGTGTCCAGGGATCTGCTTAGTGGGAATTGGGGCTGACACCTGCCAGGTTTCTCCGTCTCGATACAAAACGGATTCATTAGGGTAGTTAACCTGCTACTGGACTTCCTGTCATCAAGCCCCAGCTAGAAGGCGGGGGAGGTAGGATTCGGGTCCCCCCCCCCCGACTGTGGATGCCAGAACTCTACTGTTCCTGTAGACCACACGCCCTTCCTCAGCAGTGGACCCTAAGTATAGGAGGGGGCATGGAAAAGCCACTCGGGTTCCCTCCCTCTTACCGCCAAGTCCAAGAGAAACGTTGAGCTGTCAGCAGCCCCTGATCCTGGCACCCTCATGGGTGGTCTCCCTGGGAAAGCAGGTATGCGTCTAATTCTTCCTCTTGATTTCCCCAAGGGCCCTGGGAAAGGTGAAGTGTGTGGCTGGGCAGATTCACTGAAGTCCTACGGGGAGCAGGACCTACGCCGGGCTCAGCCCTCCGCATCAGACAGCAAGGAACCCAGACTGTTGCCAGATGCACGTGTGGTAAATTACCTGGACCCAACCCGCCCGCTGACTGGGAGGCCGCCGTCCCTCTCTCCGGTCTTCAGTTTCTCACCCTACTCTGGATGGTGTGTGGCTTTTAAAGAAGGGGCTCTCTTTTTAGTTCTCTGGGGTCTGATAGGAAACAGACCTGAGGCTTATCTTTGCACATGTTAAAGAAAATAAAAATGGAAAAAAATTGCTACTCCAACGGAACAGGCTGGGCTACTGTGAGCTCTTTGCCTGGTGGTAAAGACATCGGCATGGGCAAGATTCCGTCTCCAAACTGCTTCTCCTGGTGACATTCCAAGATGCCTGTGAGGTGGGAGTTACGAAGTAGGACAAACCCCTGCAGTTTCCTTTTGTCTGTCTACTCCGATTCAAATCTGATAGACTTTCACGTTCTGATAAAAGCCATAGGGGTAGCGAGGATAAAGTGGTAGGGAGGCCCAAGGCGATTGTTAGAGTAGGGTTTTGAGTTTGGAAGAACTAGGAGCTCTGGGTGACCTGGTAAGTTGTTTGAAGAGCAGCCGTGTGTTCTTCTCAGCCTCATTTTCTCTGTAACCCTGTTCTGCACCAGAGGCTCTTGTGAACTGCAGTCAGATCTCAAAATCTTTTTCTACCATCTGCAGTTTCCACCATTAATGCAGTATTTTTTTTTTTTTTTTGGGTAGTGGCCGTTGTAAATAGGTTATGTATGGGGGAGGGGGGGACGGCCTTCTCCAGCCCAAATGGTTTCCTAAAGAAAGGAGTGGTATCTCTGGAAGAGGCCATTCAATCCCTCCCAGCCCTGCTCACCTGCAGGTTCTCCATCAATGTAATGCCAGGTGGAGCAGCTGGACGCGAGGTCACCTTAGCATCAATTCGACAAAGGGTCAATGAGAGAGTAGCAGTCTATTCCTTAAGTTCCAATTCTGAGACTACTAGATGGGGAGGGTAAAAATGATTCCTTGGCTTCCTCTCCAGTGAGGACACGTCTTCCTGCCTCCTGTCCTTCCTTTGGCCTGTGCGAGTAAACAGAAATGCCGAGTTCTTGACCACAGAGCTCCTGGCCTCACCTGCATGCTGACAGTTACCGAGGAGCAGGATTAGGTGGTCCAAGGGGAGCATGCAGTCACCTCCCTTGGGAAAAGCACCTCACAGCGGAGTTCTCCTCGATCCACACTGGTCCTCTAGAGTCCCAGAGGAAGGTAGCAAAACAGGCAGATGGATTCGACAGCGTGAACCAATCCCACAGCGCTGTCTTTAAGGAGAATCAGGAAGCGATGCAGCGGGGGTAGCGAATAGGACGCTTTCTCTTCCGCTTCTCCCGTCTCTCTTTGGTCTACCTAACACTGACCTAAAATACCAGGTCAGGCCATCTTCCTGCTCGCCCAGGCAGGTTTGCCAAGACCACCGTCTGGGAGCCATGCCTGCACTCTGGAATCCGTTGGCCACAAGCCCTGCTAAAGATACACACCCCATCCCCGCTAGAGAGTCCGAATTGCCCCTCCTCGTCTCACTTTAGACTGAAAAGTTTTAAATCATGTCAACCGGATAACGCTTGCTTTACGTGAGAATTACTTCAGCAAAATGGGACACAAATGTTCACAACCGTCTTTTTCGTATCTATGTATTCCATATGAAAAGTGACCAAGTCATGTTTCCGGGGCGTATTCAAGTAGCCGACAAGTCATTATTTAATAATAGTACATCGAGTGCATTGTAATTATTCTCGCCGTAGTCAGGTAATAGTCTCCAATGGAAATTTCCTACCAACCTGCTGTATCCAAAGTTTTGTAAAAAGTTGTAGAAGTTGTTGATCTTTTTGATTTTATATTCAAAAAGTCTCTTTTTATAAATATTATTTATTATACAATGTATATACCTTTGAGTTAACTAAGATTATATATTATATAAATATATATATATTTGGAGAAAATATATTTCATCATGCAGTTTTTTTCTGTTAAGTCATTAAAGAGAAGGTAAACAAACTTAAAATGGATACATTGTACAGTGTGTGGAGTTTCCAGATGAGCGCTCAGGTCAAGAATATCAGGGTCTGCATGTGGTAGCCTCAACTTTCACTCTTATCTTAGTGGCCCAAATTAAGGTAATTTCCTGTTTTCTAAGCAAGAGCATCTGAGACGCCATGGACAGGTCTGAATCTACTCTAGGACTTTCTTACAGCCTTACTTTGTTCTAAATCAACTTCTCACAAAGAAGTTCCAGTTTTAGAAATAAGCAATTTGGGCAGTAATTCATTTCATAGACTCCAGCACTCCCAATGCACAAATTAATGTCACAGACACTCAGAGATGTGGCTCAAGGCCAGCAGACCACGACACTGACCACTGACTTAATCCCTTCCTCACCCATGTTTTCAACTCCATTTATTGGGAAAATAGGATTTGCTCTGCTGAAAATGAAACGGCTGGCAATGGCCCTCCCTTGCTAGCGCCACTTGAGAGCTAAGCTCCAGAAGGGGGAGGCTGGCCGGGAAGAAGAAACTGTGTGCCCTGAGCTCTGGGGTGTCTGCAACAAGTGCCACTGGAAGTTTTAGGCTGGTCTGGGCAGAAGGGACCCGCTGGTGGGTATGCTCTAGGGAGAAGCACTCGCTTCTTGGACTCCTGCTTCATTCAAAAGGACTCACCTGGAGCTCACAAGCAACATCTTAACAGTTAGATGATAGAACTCAGTTTTATGACACGAGACATAAAATGTTTTCAGACCTACCCATAAAATGTTTATGTGGCACGGTGAAAATATTTTCATTTTCTTTCATTTTCCTGATTTACCTTTAGTAGGAACAAATCTTATTTCATGTCGTAGAAAACAAGTGACAGAAAAATAAAGCGGTCTGCCTTGTACAGTGAAGACGGGCTGCCTATGCTCCATTCAGACCCCTCACCTTAGGTTAGGAATGGCTACTAGAAGTTCATGAACTTTACTTTGCTCATGATGTGTCTTTCTTTAGTCCCTGAGGAGCTTAAACCACACAAATGGTGGGTTTCAGCTGTGCAATGAATTGGACATGGAAAGTATACCGATCTCCCCACGTCCCACAGTGGTGCTCATCTTTTTCACGTTTGCATAAAGCTAATACTCATCCGCCCTAGCATCTGGGTACTTTTTTTTTTTTTAACCTGTAAGGCTGCCAAATATTTAAATGGTCCCTATTAATACTTACCAAGGCCATTTGTAATCCTATGATTAAAGAGAACAGTTTATAGCTGTGCTCGAACATTTAGTTCCTCCATAAGCATAAATACTAATAAACATTTAAAAACATGAAGAAATTTAAAAAAACTCCAAAAGAAAGAAAATGTAATGAGAAGATATCTTTCAAAGCAGTATTAATTTTATGAAGAGAGAAGGGAAGGGACGTGTGAGGGTGAATTCAAGGATGAGGGGATGAAACACAAAGGCAAATGGAAAGAGGGTAAGTACAAAGCAGAGAAAAGCAAGGAAAAAGGTGATGGTGAGATCATTCTTGGTGTATCCCTGTGGGCCTTGGGTGTACGGACACACACACACACACCTACACACACAATTATTTCAGCAAAATGATGATTACTACACCATCATCTTTTCTCCTAGCTTAACAGAAAACTTTCCAGGAGGCAAAAAATCATCTTACCATTAATCTTAAACTCCCAAAATAGTGAGACAAAGTCAGTTGTGTGGAGACTGTATGCTGGGAGATTTTCAAACATCAGTCCTTGCAAATTCTGTCTTCCCTACTTGGGAATCTTGCTGATCACAGGTGCTATCTTCTGCATCTCAGAGCCACGGTGTTCACACACACACCCCGGCTCCGTGGGCCCCGCTCCAGGCCCCAGTCTCGGCACTGCTTGCCAGCTGATGAGAAACTTTAGATCATTTTGCAATAACTTCTGAAATTTACATGCTTTTTTGAACTCTCACACACACCTTGCCCTGTCTCTTCTTTGAAGAGGCTTATGGGTCAAGTTGCCAGGCAAGGAGAATGAAATCCTGCTTCTGTGTTTGGGCTGGGTTGGTTGTTCCTAGCTGACTCGATGCTTCCACAAGTGTGTTTACCAGGATTTGATTATCTACCCCATGACTTGCTGCTGAAACTTCCAGGGGAGGCTGTTCACTGTAATTTCTTAGGATATGAAAAGATGGCCCTAAAGCAAAATCTGTTTTTCAGGTTTTAACCACCATTATACAGTTTTGCTGTTACATTCAAAAAAGTGTTTCAGTGAAGATGTACAAATTCAGAAAGGATATAATAACCTCCTTTTTTGAGGTTTTAATTGTATCTTCTGACACACACACAAAATAGCCTGCTAACAGTTCACCCACAGATGAAGAAACGTAAGGCTGCAGCTAGTAGGCGTTTCCTTTGCGGTATCAGCAGGCCAGGCTGTAACCCCTGACTTTGGACAGTACTCAGACAGCTTCGAGACTCCACCTTTTCAAGGCAACACGGGGACCAGGGTGACCTCAGGGCCCTCCTCTAAGGAGGGTGTGGGCAGCCCCCAGGGAGCAGCCCCTGCTATCAGAGAAGCTCTGAAGTTGGACTCTTCCCACAGAGCCTCCTGACTTTCTGGGCGGCCTCTAGTCCTAACCCAAGGCAGCTCGAAGGGTTGGGGTTTGGGCTAAGAGATCTGATGGCTCAGAAACATGCAAAAAGGATGAAGGACACCAAAATGAAGAACTCACACTGCGAGTGTTTGAGTCTCTTGGTTTGTACTTTTCACAGGAAGGAGTAATTCTACTTGAGAAACACTTTTCCTTTCTGGCTTAACCCATTTATGGCTCTGGTACACTTCAGTTTTTAATAAGGTGAAAGAAGTAAAATCAGTATAAAGATTCTTATTGTGCATTAACTTTAAAAAACATGCTGCCATTGATCTGATTTTCTTTTTAAATAACTACTCTTTCAAAACAATTAAAATGAGAGGTTTTTAAATAAAAATCATCCATCCCCTTGTGCTAGTTATTATATAATAAACCATCTAAGAGGGGCTTTTCTGAGCCCCTTCTTCTTCATACATTCGTATCAGTTATATATGTTGTTTTGTATAAAATACTGGTCTACAGAACATTTTCAAGTATATATATACTCTTTATTGCATTCCTTCATTTGCATTAAACAATATAATATTTAAATTTTTCAATATAGTTTTGGACAAAACACAAAGACATTAACCTCATTTAATAAGAGACATAAATTAATACAGTGTGTGCTGCTTTCCCGGGAAGAGAAAAGCGCCAAGATCTAAAACAGGGAAGGGAGTCCAGGATACTGGCTGCTGGGAATCACAGAATTTCACAATACAACCCACTTTTGGAAAAGCCACAGAATAAGCGAGGGATAAAAACCTGAAACAAAGTAGATATGACGTACAGGTCTACGAAAAATATACAGGAGGCTTCTACCACGGGGACAGATGATAGAGCTACACCCAAGTGCCACTGTGGCCACAGCGTCACGGGCAGCGCTAAGCACACGTGATGGCTCCCGGCTGCGTGTCTTCACATTTACAGCAGCAGTGGGGAGAGAGTGGCCTGTGCCCTCACTCTCATCACCAAACAGGATGACCTATTTAAATTCCTTTTAACTCAGTTATAAGACAAGCCACCCGTCCTCTCCCTTTGGAAGAAACGTGCAGAGGGGAAAGGGAATGTCTTCAATGTACTGGAATGGACGGTAAAGGGCTGAGGGGAGAGGGCTGGAAAGTGGATTATTTTTTTCTGCAGAATCGTGTTTTATTTAGATGCAAGATAGTACAGCTAATTTAAAATACAGGATATGTTTTCAGTAAGTAATTAAGCTAAGGAAAAAAGAAAAGTGGTGATGCTAATAAGCCTTTAATATACTAAGGAACTGACCCATTTAGAGTTGGACACTAATTAGTGTTGAGAGATTTGTAAATTATTTTAATGACTCCTTTCTTTTTAGGGGTGTACGCTTGCTTCATACATACTTCCACAAGTTTTTAACAACATCTAACGAGTGGTAATGATTAGCATATCTCTTACCGCAGAGCAAATTAGTTACATTAAGGGGATGTCACAGCCAACACACTAATAACCTGACTTTCTATTAAGAAAGATCTCCTGATTGCAACTTGGAAACATCTCTGAAAATGATTGAGAACAGCATCTTAGAAACGCCAAGCCCTGTTTTTCAGGCAAAGGTAACCAGTAGCTTTATGGGAGGACCTTTCCCTGCAGTGTTAGCACAGGGAAGTGTAAGATAACCCCTTTGAGCCCATACCTCTAGTCACTGTTCCTGGTTTACTTGTAGGAAGTCTTCCTTCTAACAGGCCACGTGTTGTCTTGCGACATCATGACATTTATTGAGAGGTTTTGGGTGGTGGTGATAGGGGGCTTAACACGTGTAGTGTTCACAAATACAGTACATCTCCCACACTTAACGACTGAGGAGAAGGAATCAGCTTAGCTTGCACAGAAAGGTAAGCACAGCATTCTAAAGCAAATTTGTACCTTCCACAAAACAGAATGTCTCAGTAAGCACAAGGAAGGGCGTTTTATTGCACTAATCATGCAGAGTGAGCACGTGCTGAAGGTAGGGAACCTTTCACTTCGTCCAGTATCTTGAGTAAATCTAGTGAAGATCCCAGGCCACCTTTACCTTGGTCACTTCCCTTGGTCACTGTGCAAACAGTCCATTTTCAAAGTCATGGGGGCTACTGAAAAAGAAATACCCAAAACACACACACAAAATAGATGAGGGTCTGCAAAAAGCCATTCATCACAAACATCACTAAAAGCTTCTTAATGACTTTTCTAAAATTTTCACTATGCATTTGCTATTAGATGAGCATGTCACAAAAGAAAATGGTCACAGCTCCATGCATTTAAAAGCAGGTTCCAACAAATATGTACCATTGCATTTTTTCCTGCATTGTGACAAGGAAGTTTTGCGAAGCAGGACAGGGAGAGCAAACCTGCAATACAACCATTTTCCTTGCTTGGTCTCTCAGATCTATAACACAGTGAAGAATTCTAATAAATGGAAACAAAGTTGTCCAAGAAAGGTTGAGAATGTAAATTTATATGCACTGTACAGCAACTCCTAAATTAGGTCCTGGGATTTCAAAGAGTAGTAAGTTTGCTTGACAGTCCTAAGTGTGGTATGTACTTACGTTCCTTCTTCTCTTAAGAGAGCCAAGAATTTCCTCACACGGTATTCAGGATCCATCTAAATACATCAGAAGAAATAAAGACGACGGGTTAATGGTGCCTTCTGATAACTGCGCTTCCTTCATGCCAAGGAAATGCTTAGCTTCATACTTTCATCAGTGCTCTGCTGAGTCACAGAAATGTGTTACCTGTTCCTTGACCAGTATTCTGATACACAGAAAAGCAGATTATGTCATTCAAGAGAAGTGAATGGGATTTCCTAGCCTAGAGAATCGCTATATTCGAGGTCCCAAATGACGCAGCTGGTCACTCACAGGCACCTCAGCCACATGGCTCCTTGGCTAGCGCTGGGTGAGGAGGCAGCACACCAGAGAGGACCACTGTGAGACCAGATGGTGGCCATTCATGGGTGTTCAAATGGCATCCAACTCATAGGGCTCATCTACGGTATGAGTGAGACTAAACTTGAAGGAACCAATAATTGATGTTGATTAAAACCAAAAAATAGCCTATTAATTCTCTATGATTGATGATTTAGCTTTTCTTAACCTTGGTCTCCCTGGCATAGTTCCTTCTTTGCAATTAATGAAAAAAATTGTGTCGAAACTGAAAAAAAAAACCCAAAAAACGAAGAGTGGGGCTCACTACTGACACGACCTCTGGATAATTCGGGTCTCCTGAGACTGAGAACAGTGTCACGGGTCTAAGGAAAGATGGAGGAGCTGTGGTTCAGGTTTTGGGTTCAGGTCATTGTTACTCTTCATTTTATATTCATATTTATACCAATTTATTTACCGATGCTCTCATGGGTCCGTCAGGGATGTGAAGTTACCTAAAAAGTGATCGTTAAAAATATCTTTGATTCCTTAAGATGAATTTTTATGGTAAAAAACATATCTAACCTTTAAAAAATGTTACAGGGCAGGAGTCTGTTTCCCAAGAGGGAACTCCCTGCCCTCCAGGAGCAGCCGGCTAACGCTCTGTGCAGCTGTGGGTGAGTGTGGAGCTGGGTTCCCCCTCTAACCAGTATTTTTTTTTTTTTAAAGATTGCTTCTCTTCTATCCCAGAAAACATCCAACAGAAGTTTCAAATGTATCAAAGTTAAGAGGTCAGACTACAAAGGACTAAGAAAAAGTGTGAATAGCTAACAAAAGACACAGTTTTCCTCTTTGGGAATAGAATTACATATGAATCAATTGTCAAGTTCTTAAAAAAAAATGGAACTGGCTGGAGCGCAGTTGTAGTCAGTACTTGCAGGACTTTGCCCATTAAATATATTTAATATGTGTGAGCAACGACTTACTGACTTGCCTGTAGCTATGGAATTAAAAGTCAAGAGAAAGGGAGGAAAAAAGTAATCTAGATAAATGACTTTATTCCCTCAGGTGACATCCAGTCAGAGCAGATCCTCAGCACTGTGCAAGTTTTAACAGAATTGTGTATAGTGAACAGAGAGGTAACATGACTTATATTCTGCTAAACTACATGCCTCTTCACTTAGGCTCCGTCTCTCTAAGGCAGATCTAAAGAGAATTCACTCAGCTGCACGAAATCCATTTGACATGAAGGGGTTCAAGCTCAGAGGCCTATGAAGTGTCAGTTGCTGAAGATTAGGCCTGAGTGCCCCACTCTCACTTTCTACCCCACGTACATAAGAGGCATTAACTTCATCACTGACCTGCAGGCATGAAAGGAAGAGGAAGGGGTAGGGATTGGGGAGAAAAACCCACATAGTTTCTTCTATGCAATTATTGAAAAAAAAAATTATGCTGAAACTAAAAAAATTGAAGAGTAGAGCTGACTATCTGACAGGTTTATCTTCTTCCACGGAAGGAGCTGATACATCTGTATATGCACCTTTATCTAGAAAAACCCTAAGCAAAGTGATTAGTCTGTAATTTGAATTTACTGCTCAAAATGGAAAATAAATAAATTGGCTTAAAAATAGTCCAGCTGAAAGTAGAAGGAATTAAACTTTAGGTTTCTGAAAACCACAGTTTTATTTTCAAATAAATTTCCCAGCGAAGATTACAAAGCATTCACTTTGTCTTTATAACCTGTTATTGGTCCAAGAGCCTATTTCCGGCGTGAATGAAACCTCACCTCTGCCACCCACTGCTCACCTTGACCAAAGGGCAGGCTGAGCAGCAACACACAGTGCTTAGAATGCAGCCCAGGACCTGGGGCAGATTCAGTCAATGAAAGTTTACTGAGCACCCTACTATGTGTTTGGCTCTGTTCCAGGGGTTGTGGATTCAATAGTGAGTGACAGCCAAGGTCCCTGGTAAGGATACATTTATTATCTAAATAGTATATCAGGTGAGGACAAGATGGATACAGGATGGGTGCTTGGAGGGGTGGAGTTCCAAAAAGAGAAAAGGTAAGTTGCCAGTAGATGTCAAACAGTCACAAAGAAGTTCCATCCATCTTTGTCCAGACAGCTGTCTGGGGCACAGTTTTCTGTGCGATCTCAGACGCCTCAACCCTACAGTAGTTTGCATGACATTTCTAGGAGCCCAGCCAGGGCCCAAGTCTAACCTGTACAACTCAATTACCTTGTCCCTTACCGCAGGCTCCCAGGCCCCTTCTGTGTGTGTGCGGTAGCTTCCTGACCTCAGATGGATGTCAGCCCCACTCCATCAATTGGCTGTGACCCTGGATAACTCACTGACACCCCGTGTAGGATAGTCGGGGTTCGTCTCTAAAATGAGGAGACGCAGATCAATTGCTCTTTGAAGTCCTTTCTAAGATCTAGTGACTCCGGAAACTAAAACTTAAAGTAACTTTATAATCTTTTCTTCTATTTTCAAGTTTTAAAAAGCAGGAAAGACAAGTACCAAAGTTATTGTTTGATCTCAGAAACAGGCTACCAATATCAACTTGTGTTCAGAAACAGTAAGAGAATTATAACAATTAATTAAAATCCTAACAAAAGGAAATATAAGACCTCACGGTACATCATGAAGCTTCTGAGCCTGAGTCATAAGGAGCAGGAAGCATCTTACCTGTAGGGACATTTCAATCAACATTAGTAACTTCTTGATTCCTATCCAGACCGTCTTCCCTTTTACTTGCTGTGCAATTGTGGTACGTTCCTTATCCTTGAAGTTGCCCAAAAGCTATAAAAACAATAAAAATTACAAAAGGACTTTTATAGTAAGTGCAGCAACAGCATTATTAGTTCATTCTCACATTTATCCTTAAAACACAGTGATAAGAACTAGCTGACTGGTTCAAGCTGACAGGATTCTCTCATATTTTAAAATCTAACCTGACCTTCCTAAACTCATCAGTGTAATTATGAAAGCGAAAACTGGTATCTAAATTCTGTTTTCCTATAGGCCTCCATTAGAGATATATTTGCTAGGGGTTGGGGGAGATAGCTCCAGTCCATAATATCAGTTAAAATTTTTAACATTCCTTTCTAGGAACAATCTGTATGTGTCAAAGCAGACTAAATTTACTTCTCTTACCCTATCTCGGCACAAAAGCTGCTCAAGCAGGTAACCTGGAGACATTTATCATAGAAATCATTTCTGTTTTGTTGGGAGTATGCCCCAATTTTATGGGTCTTGAGGATTTTTAAGAAGCCTTCACCACTGCTGAACAAGTCACTAGATAATATTTTCTAACAAATCTCAAGTCATTTGTGCACACTAATAGTCTTCAAAAGTTTAATGGACATATTTTAAAAAAAATTTAAAGACTTTGTCATCCTCAAAAATACTGACAAAAACATTTCCATATTCTGAACTCGTTAATAAAGTAGTTCCTTTTACTTCTGTAGCTTTTTTGAAGTTTCTAAAGTTTTCATCATTGCTCCAATTTATGAAATACATACAAGTAAAGGGGCTGGAAGCTACTACAAATGACTGATTTTTCTATGTATTGGTTACTTTACCTCCTTCACCCCCAGCCTGAGTTTCTGGTCCTTGGAATCTATATGCATTACTCACGCTGGGCAGAGAGTAATTCATTCCTGGCAGTCTGTATGCTGCTGACACTGAGAAATAGGAAATTCCCTCTCACTTCTAAGTCATCTCCTCTTCCTTTAATTCCTGAAAACAACTGAAGGGATAGCCCAGGTCCCATGTTCTAGGTTACCATAGAAGCTCAACACCAGGTGTGATGTCTGGTGCCCCTTAGCATTATTTCCAGCCTCAACTCCTTTCTTAGAAACATTGAGCAATCCATGGACTCATTTTTCACCTCCAAAGCTTCCAACAGCTGCTCTCCCGTGGCGATGTTGGGCACGTGGATGGTGGTGCTGAAAGCATGGAGCATTTCCATCTCCTGAAGGACATCTTTGCGGCTCGTGGTCCCAATGATCAGAAGCTTGCGGCCCTGATCACGGGAGAAAACATGTTAAAATACACAGGATAAAACTGATTAGGAAGCTAGAGTAAGCCCGAATGATATCCATTTATTTAGTCACAGAAACACAAATGAGTAGGCAGTAGAGAGAAAAAAAATTCAGAATTTTCCTCTTGAAATTCCAAAAAAAGTTATCAACAACATGATTCGGAAAGAGGCAACAGCTCTTTCTTCTCATTCACATCCATAAAATAACGGCTTAGTAAATCAGGGAGATACACAAACCAAATAAGACACTTCAGTACATATTTGTAATTCATTTTTTCACAAGCAATGTGGTAGATGGTGGGAATTGGGGGAAAAATAATGAAATGAATGAATGAAATGTCTGTATCACTTACTTAGCAAGGCTATATATTATGCTTTTTAGGAGTAGGGTAATAATAATAGTTTACATTTTATTTAACACTTAACTGTGAAAGACATAATGCTCTACATAACTGTTGCGTTTAATAGTTTTAAGTTTCATTTTTATTTTTTACCCCCAAATACACAAAAAAGTTATACCCAGCTTACACCACCATTCCTGACTCCCTCTCTCCAGAGGCGACCGTTTTCAATTCTCTTGGGTTTTCT